GGTCATGATCCCAGAGTCCTGGGATCGAGCCCCGCATCGGGCTCCCTGCTCGGCGGGAGGCCTGCTTCTCCCTCTCCCACTGCCCCTGCTTGTGTTCCTGCTCTCGCTCTCTCTCTGTCAAATAAATAAATAGAAAAAATAAAAAAAAGAATTAGGGAAGACAGAAACCTCAATTATGATCTCATGTACAGTTATATAATAGCCAGTATATAGATCAGCTCCCTAATCATGAAGTATCAATTATCCAGGTATCTGGCCAAAAAATATGTATAGTATATAATGTATGTTTTGAAAACTTAAGATCAGAGAAAATAATATGGAAAAATTTATAAAAAGAAAACTTAAAAACATTATATATTACAGTAGTGTTTGTATATTACAATACTGTTTGAAGACTGTGCTTGAGAAATTTCTTAGGTTCATTATAAGCATTTTTTTTGTAGGAGTATGTAATTCAGTATAAAATATTTACCTTCTATTTGATAGGAAGCCTTTCTGCTGGATTTGCAATCAAGGACTTATCACCAATAGAGGACATTAATAAAGGAGAATTATACCACTTAGTGATACTGGAGAGAAATGAAACTCATAGCATCAAGGATTTTGATCTCAAGGAAGTCTGGGAAAATATGCATGAGTTTGAGAGTCACTGGAGATATGATGCAAGAAATTACAAAGAAGTGCCTTTGACACATAACAAAAATCTCATTCATAGAAAAGATCAACAGCTTAATAAATCCTCAATTACTTTTCCTCAAAAGCAGAGTATTACTGTAAAAAATAATACATACCAATATTTCATGCATGATGAGCCATTTGTAAGGCATTTGTTAAAACTGGAAAATAACATAAGTGGTGCTGGAAACTGGTACATAAACTGTTTGGAAAATAGAATTGGATTAAGTTTGCAGGGACACCTGGCTGAACTGCAGAGATTTCATACTGAGGAAAAAATGTATGAATATAATCAAGTTGAGAAATCTGTCAACAATGGTTCCTCTGTTTCACCACTTCAGAGAATTCCGTCTAGTATCAAAAACATTTGGAATAAATACAGGAAGATTTTAAAATATCCTTTGTTACCTGCACAATACAGAAGAGCATACACTAGAGGAAAATCTTACAACTGTAATGACTGTGGGAAGGCTTTTAGCAAAAGCTCAAATCTCATGAGTCATGAGAGAATTCATTCAGGACAGAGACCTTACAAATGTAATGAGTGTGGCAAAACCTTTACGGAGCGTTCACATCTTACTCAACATAAGAAAATCCATACTGGAGAGAAACCTTACAAATGTAATGAGTGTGGCAAAGCCTTTAACCAGTGTTCGAACCTCACTAGACATCAGAGAGTCCATACAGGAGAGAAACCATATAAATGTAACATATGTGGCAAGGTCTGTAGTCAAAATTCAAACCTTGCAAATCATCAGAGAATGCATACTGGAGAGAAACCTTACAAATGTAATGAATGTGGTAAGGCCTTTATCCAACGTTCACACCTTTGGAGTCATGAGAGAATTCATACTGGAGAGAAACCTTACAAATGTAATGAATGCAGCAAAGCCTTTGCTGAACGTTCAGGCCTTACTCAGCATAAGAAGATCCATACCGGAGAGAAACCTTACAAATGTAATGAGTGTGGCAAAGCTTTTAAGCAGTGCTCACACCTCATTAGACATCAGAATACACATCCTGGAGAGAAACCACACAAATGTAATGTATGTGGCAAGGCCTTTATCCAAAGCTCTAGCCTTATAGAACATCAGAGAATTCATACAGGAGAAAAACCTTATAAATGTAATAAATGTGATAAGGCTTTTATCAGACGGTCACACCTATGGGGTCATGAGAGAACTCATACTGGAGAGAAACCTTATGAATGTATTGAGTGTGGCAAAGCCTTTGCTGAGCGTTCAAATCTTACTCAACATAGAAAAATCCATACTGGAGAGAAACCTTATACATGTAATGAGTGTGGCAAAGCTTTTACCCAATTTGCAAACCTTACTAGGCATCAGAAAATACACACTGGAGAGAAACCACACAAATGTGATGTTTGTGACAAGGCTTTTATCCAAAGTTCAAGCCTTATGGAACATCAAAGAATTCACACAGGAGAAAAACCTTATAAATGTAATAAATGTGATAAGGCTTTTATTAAACGTTCTCACCTTTGGGGTCATGAGAGAACTCATACTGGAGAGAAACCTTATAAATGTAATGAGTGTGGCAAAGCCTTTACGGAGCGTTCACATCTTACTCAGCATAAGAAAATCCACACTGGAGAGAAACCTTATACATGTAATGAGTGTGGCAAAGCTTTTACCCAGTTTGCAAAACTTAACAGGCATCAGAAAATACATGGTGAAAAGAAACATTATAAATCTAGTATGTGTGGCAGTGGTTTTATTCAAAGCTCAAGCTTTGGGGATCATCAAAGAACTCACAGTAGAAAGAAACCTTACAAATAAAATGATTAAGCAAGTGTTCAAGCCTTATTCAACATCAGAATTCCATTATGGAGAGGAACCATATGAAACTCATGTGGCAAAGCCTGTAACCAGGGGTTTACACCTCACTTGATATCAGAATATAAATCTCTAAAAGAAAGCACACAAATGTGTAATGTATGGCAAGGCTTATCCAAAGTTTATACGTTGTGGAACATAACAGTTCTTACTAGATAGAAACCTTACAAATGTAGTGAGTGTGATCAGCTTTATAAAAAATGTACAACTTGGGGGGTGGGGATAGGGGAATGTGATTAAGAGGTACAAATTTCCAGTGATTAAAAAAAAAAAGTACAACTTTGTGATCATGAAAGAATTCATATGAGATGGAAACCATATAAATGTGTCAAGGTCCTTACCTCAGGAAACACCAAAGAATTCATACTGGACAGAAACATTACAAATATAATGAAGGTGATAATTTATTTAGCCAATTCTCTCAATGGACTACAATAAGAAAATTCATACTAGGGGAAGTAAGTCTATTTTGAGAATTAACCAATCTTAGATGTTAAATTCCACAGAAAATTTAAATTATTTAAAACTAATGAGATGATGTGTATCAGTAGAACAAGGATATCTGTGGAAAGACCTACTAATTATCTTCAGCTTACCATTTTTTAAAATATTTTAAGTAATATCAACACCCAATGTGGAATTCAAACTCACAACCCCAAGATCAAGAGTCGCATGCTCTTCTGACTGAGCCAGCCAGAAGTCACTAAATTTTTTTTACTCAATTACTTGAGGTTTCCTGAGGCTGCATTATTATTGATGACTTACAACCTGAAGTTTGGGACCCACTGATGTTATACTTTAATTACATGCATTTAATGTGTCACCATAATGGTCTCAGAAGGGATCAGTAAGGTGAAAGGACCTAGTTCATTAGCTGGGGCTTATTCATACCTATGTAACCTGGAAAAACTAGGACACTAATTTTAAGATACAGTAGGGTGTAAGTTTGAGAGCATAGGGAGTGGCAGGGAATAGTGTAAAACTGTTAATCTAAATTGCCATGTTTTCTGTGATCACAGCCTCTTCTCTAGATTTGTTGGTATGACTGAGGGCCTTTGTTGATGATGATTACAGGAAAGGATGATGAAACAGTAGGCCAGGACATTGAGAGAATGAGACTTTCATGTGAGTAGAAGGACAAGTTACTAGGGATGGCATATGTAGTAGAAAAAATGGAGGGGGAATGATGATCTCTCCCTCTTTTGAAAGGTAATAGTTGTGTATCATAGATTAGTAGAAATTAGTCTTATTTTTGGAAACTGAAGAGAAAGTTCTAGAGGACATTTTAATCAAAAGAACCAGAGTAGTATGCTTGTGAAGGATTCAAATTTGGCCACTGAAATTGCGTTTTGATACCATTTTATTTAGGATATTATAAATTCTCATATCTAAATAAGTAAAATAGAAACCTTTTTTTGTAACACTGAATGAACCACGTGCCTTTTATTAGCCCAAGTGTATCCCACACCTCATTGGGGCATTTCATAATGAACACTAATAATACATCCTTGGGCTCCATAGGTTGAATGTCATCCCTAACAACTTTTTTCCATGTTAGATTCACACAACTTACAGTCTTGGAAATACATATTCATAATTTCAATTTGAAAGTTACACAATTTCAAACTCTCACCCTCTAAAACCTGCCTCCCTGTTCATGAACACACACTGTATGATGATTACATTTCTACCTGCCTTTCTTTTGTGCTGAAATGAGACCCATGGGTTGCACCTTTACATTAAATGAAAATAGAAAAATAGTAAGCATATGAAAAGTATTAGGAAATAAAATGTCAGAAATAAGGATAAAGATAATCTCTTTTGTGCTGGAGTGCTCAGGGAAATAAGTTGAAAAGATCAGTGTTCGTTGAGTTTACTCTCAAGAACAAATACTGACACAATGGGAATCTTTTGATAACTAGCAATCTCAGATATTTACCCTCTAAAACATTTTTTGCTAGTTTGCACTTGTGCTTACTTCGCTGGAAGAGGATGTTTGGATGTCATGAATGAGGACTTCATACAATAAAGTGTTACAAGAACGTTTATTACATAATGATGCTTTCTGGGGAGAGCAGGATAGACCTCCTCAGGTTGTTCTAAAAATGGCTAGAGAACGCAGGGAATGATGACTGGTTTGTTATGATGGTTACTATGTGGGGCTGGGGTGATGGCACTCACTTATGGTGTGCACTTTCAACTAATGCCAAGGGAAGGGGCACTTGGCTTTATTAGCTTGCCTTGCCCAGATGGGCAGCATAGTAAGAGGTTATAATGAGGCTTAACAGGTATTGTTCGTCAGACATCAAAAATGGAGTCAGACTAACTGAATGTTTACTCCTGACTTGGTAGGGAAAAGACCACAATCTTCCTCATGCTAACACACTACCTTCATTTCCCTGGTACACATACAGACCCCGCTGCACAATATGATTGTTGAAAATGGTGAAATACTGTTTAGATAAATTATCTAAGGTATTTTTAAACTTAATGATGTCACAATTATATTGCTATTAAGTTACAGTCTAATATTAAAATATATGTGGAAAAATACATGTGGAAGTGATAGAATATGTCCCAACTACAAGCCTGTTGTAGATCTCTCACTTTAAGGTAGAATGGAATGAATGGAATCTCAAAATCAGTCCTTTCATTTCTCTACCAAGATACTAGAATCAGAATATCTGTATTGAAACTTGGCAAATTATTTTAGTTTTAGGTTCAGATAAATAAACTAACTTAAAATAAATTTCAAAGGAAATAAATCTTTAAGTTAGAAAATGCTGAACTAATAATTTTTGAATCTCATTTGGAACACCTATCAAGTCATGGGTTGCACAGAACATACTCAGGATAAAGAACGAAGTCCGCTGATAAAATCTGTCTCTCCCCACAGTTGCCCTTGACTACCTTGTCATTTAATATTAATAAGGGGTATTTTTAATTTGGTCTGCAAAATGTTTTCTCTAACACCTTTTTCTTTTACCTTCTGTTCTTTAGGCGTGAATATGAAATTTGAAAAATCCCTAATATCCTTATTAAAATTGCATTATTAAAATTTCTAGCTGATTGGAAAAACTTACTGGGATTATCATTTCCATGTAAGCAAGACAAAACCTAATGATGAAAAGGGCTTTGCCCCTCACCATTCACCCTTGGTCATACAGTGGCCGTCCTGCTGTAAGGAGAGAGGGCTGCTAACGGAGGTAGAGCAGGCAGAGAACTGCCCAGGGGACCTGTCACATCCAGCACTACAACGAACACTACAACTCTGGGCTTCCTGTTACTTGGGAAATGATAAACCACCTACTTGTTTCAGCCACTGTTTTCCAGGAGGTCTGTCACTAAAAAACTGTCCTACCTGACAAATAAGATTCATATTTTGTATTGAGAGTAGAATGGAACATTTGAGAGGGGTTCCTGAATTTAAAATTTTGTAGCTTAGAAAAGCTTTATTAAAACATCCCTTCAGGGGCGCCTAGGTGGCTCAGTCAGTTAAGCATCTGGCTTTTGATTCTGGCTCAGGTTATGATCTCAGGGTCATGAGACAGAGTCCCACATCAGGCTCTGCACTCATCGGGGAGTGTGCCCAAGATTCGCCCCCTCTCTCTGCCCTTCCACCCCTCAAATAAACAAATCTTAAAAAAAAAAAACAAAAAAACCCCTTCACTGATGAGTTAGAGCTGTTTGGAACGTGTTGCCTAAAATTCACAATGTGAACAAAATATAGCATGAGAATTTATGACAAAATGTTCAGAACACTAAGAAAGTTACAGGAATAGGGAATTTGGTCCCACAAACAAAATTACATGTTTACTTATATTCCATAAGGGATAAGTCTATAAGCATAAAATATAATGCAAAGTTCATAAGTATGTTCATGTACAGTGATAGACTTATAGGGTTTCCTAATTTAAACAGTTTTCTGGCAATGCCCATATGATGAGGTGATATTTGAGCAGAATCACTGAAAGTGTATCATGCAAATACAAATAAGGGCAAGTGGGTAGAGGAAACAGAAGGAGAAGATTGTTAGAATGGGAACATATTTACCGCAATTAGTATGTGGCTTGGTGAAATATTAAGTTTCTACTGGAGACATTTAAAATCTGGGACTCCTTATAGTTACAATTTTAAAAATTTTAACAAAATTCCCCAGAGTACATAAGATGATATGTAATAGATCCAAAATAATGATGACCTGTTTGGAGAATGCACATATTTCTTTATGGCAGCCTTACCATTACCAAGAGAACGCAGGGGTGGGGTGGGGTAATTGAATTAAAGGAAAGATAGTAAATACCATTTGTCAAAACTATCTGACAGGACGGGTCGCCTGGGTGGCTCAGTCATTAAGCATCTGCCTTCAGCTCAGGGCATGATCCCAGGGTCCTGGGATCGAGCCCCGCATCGAGTCCCGCATCGGGCTCCCTGCTTGGCGGCAAGCCTGCTTCTCCCTCTCCCACTCCCCCTGCTTGTGTTCTCTCTCTCGCTGTCAAATAAATAAAATCTTAAAAAAAAACACAGAGGTTTGATCCCAGGACTTCTTAAGATACACACTTTTCCTTTTGTCTACACCCCTGTAGCCAGCCAGGGGTAGATTGCTACTTCCACTTACGAATGTGTATCAAGTAAAACTGGTGGGTCTTTTACACCTCAGTTATATCTTCAATGTCCATATCATAAATTTTTTTTACCATATAATAAAATATTATACTTTCAAACTGAATAGTAACAAAACACATATTTCATATGTTTTCCTCATGAGTACAAGACCTACTGACTCCCATTTATTCCTAGTTTTACTCTTCAAATTGAGACCAGTATTGTGTTACCAGTGCCTAATATTTGACTACGAAATTGACTTTTCAGTTATGTTTCAGATACCAAATTTTATACTAATTCAGATGTGATGAGAATGTGACTGTGTGTGCAAGGTTGGCAAACTTTTTATGTAAGGAACAGATAGTAAATATTTTATTCTTTGTAGGCCATACTGTTTCTGTTACAGCTATTCCAAT